TGTGTGTGTGTGTGTGTGTGTGTGTGTGTGTGTGTGTGTGTGTGTGTGTGTGTGTGTGTGTGTGTGTGTGTGTGTGTGTGTATATTCAATATTTTCTAGCCGGTTACGCGTGTGTCCACACTACACATGAACGTTCTGCGGAGGTGACCGCTATAATACACTTGTCACCGTACCCGACCATCGTCAACAACAACCCGTACCTGTATGTCGGTGATTCGCACGGCGCCCGATGGCGGCGCTGTCGTCGTATTCACGCACGTGACGTCAGCAGCATCGAGTTCGGCTAGCGTCTGTCCCGCTAGATGGCGTGGCGACGCGCACGTGCCCTCGACGACGTCGTATTCGTATTGCGTCGATACGAGGTATTCGACTCGACAGTCGCATACAAGCGGGTTGTCTGCCGCCGGAAAAGAAACGAGGGAAAGATGTCAGAAGCGTCGAGTTGTGTCACAAGCATCGAAACTAGGGGGGAAGACGCCACGTTACAGGTGTCCGTTTGTTTGTGCGTTCGTTCGATGGCGGTTTCGGGTATTTTTTGTTTTAAATTCTGGGGTATTTTCGTCGCTAGGAAGTAGTATCTCACTCGTAGTTATAAAGTCGTTATGGTAAAATGTATACATGTGTGTGTGTTTTTGTGTTGTAAATTATTGGGGAAGAAGCATAATTAGAAGAATAATTAGAAGTATTGCGAGTAGTTGTTGCATAAAATAACGTTTGTCTTATAATGCGCGCAATATTGCAAAGGACAGAAAGATGCGATATGATATGACTACTAGGCACTTTAATTTAATTTAAGATTTTTTTTTTTTTGGGTTAGGGTTAGGGTTTAGGTTAGGTTTAGGGTTTAGGTTAGGTTAGGGTTAGGGTTAGGGTTTTTTTTTTTAAGTGCCTAGTAGTCATATCCTAAGTGCCTAGTAGTCATATCCTAAGTGCCTAGTAGTCATATCATATCGCATCTAACTGCCGGGTGAGCAATATTGGCGGTAGAGTGGTGTGTAAAAATCGTGACAATTCATTGAGCCTATTTTTTTTCTAATAGCACAGTGATTAATAGCCTTGTTATTGCTTGATGGCATTAGGGAAAGTGTTATATCTAATCAGTGTTACAACTTACGAGTATGATAAGCGTCAGTAGATTTATAATGTTTCTGACAACGTACTCCAGTATATATATATTAGCGTTATTGTATGAATGCGTGACGAAGGGTTGGATAGTCGGCCCTTACAATTTTATTCGTATCCACACAATAACGCTATGCATAGTGTATGTTACCGTGCATAGTATATGTCACCGCGCATAGTGTATGTCACCGTGCATTGTATATGGTGCTATGCATGCACCTAGGCATCATGCGTAACAAATCTGAGTCATCTGACGTCTGTGATAAAGAAGGTACAGCGACGATGTGTTTACATACAGCTGCGATGCTATCAGTGCGAAAGTTAAGAATTAATACGTTATACTCCATTGCTATCTTTCTCCTAGTATACACATTGATATGTACGGTGTGTGTACTTCAGTGTGTTAGTCGTGACACCCATCGTAGAGCATACACACACACGCACGCACACGCACGCACACACACACACGCACACGCACGCACGCACGCACGGATACACACACACACACACACAATATATATATATATATATATATTATATATATCAGTGGCGTATCCAGTAATTGATAAGCAAGGGGGCGAAATGTACCACGTACGCGTACGCGGCGTAGGCACGCCAGCGCTAGGGCGTGTGGGGACATATGCTCCCCCAGAACATTTTGAAATATTTAAGCCATTTTCCTGCAATCTGAGGCATACTGTCGCCCATATTCTGATGTCTGATGCCACTATCTCAACCCAAGACTCAACCCTACAATTTAGGATTTAAAACGCGTTTCATGACTTTCCAGAGAGCGTACACACCTGAGGTTAGGTTACTATATAGTAAGTAGTAAGTAGGTTACTATAGGTTTTATTGTTTTTTTTCTGGGCCTGCAAACGGGGGCCATACGCCGACTCCGCCCTATGCTGGATACGCCACTGTATATACACACATATATATAATATATATGT